TAACTTTGTACTCTGAAACAAAGAAATAGATGTGGATGATATGTGCAGTATTTCATGTTTATCGTGAACATATTCCATAGCATAATTAACGCCAAAAAAATGGAACATTTTACCGACCATCTGCCTCGTTTGCATAGGCCACCACCCACATTAACATAACCTTTCTAGGAAGTCAGTAGCACCAACACCCCTTTCACAAACCACAACACCATGTTGTGCAATAGAAACTGTGATTTATCTAAAAATGGACACCAGAATAGTCTCGAATGTTCCATTTAAATATTTAAAACATCGTGTGCGGTATTTTTAAAATAAATGTGGCTATAACATTTTTATTGCGTGGGGTTTTTTGTCGGACTTTATAAAAGATTGAATGCATTTGATGGTTTTAGGATTTTCGGTGATTAAACAAAATTCTTAACAAGCCAAAAAAAGTTCCTTTAATTGTCTTACAGAGATTGTAAATAAAAATGTCATAACTAGGTCATGTGGATTTTTTTTTAAAGTATAATTTTATAAAAAAAAAAAATTATCGGCAAGGTTGTCAGTACAATTTACAAATTACTACAAAGTGGGGTTTCCAGAAAATAGTTCATGGAGTTTCTCTGTATTGACAGCTTTTATAAAATAGATTCTCGAAATATTAAATCTCTGAAATTTTTTCAGGCAATAAAAGTTTTTTATTCATTTTTTTACGGCGCCTTGAAAGTTAATTTTTTACTTTCTCGTATATACGTAGTATAGAGAAAGTATTGTAATCGTGCAAAAAAAAAAAATCGAGATTTTTACAAATCTCGACGTTTTACACCTCACTGATACGGAAAAACATAATTTTGCAATCTTGTCCGTATGTCTGTGTGTGTGTGTGTCTGTCTGTCTGTCTGTCTGTCCGTGTGTAAACACGATAACTTGAGTACCGTTACAGCTAGGTTGATGAAATTTCATATATAAGTATTTTATCAAAATCGTAGATCCGTATCAACTTTTGAGCGATTTCCGATAACCGGAAGTGGTACTTTTCCTACTTTGAATTTTTCAAAAGCCTATAACTTGAGTACTATTTCAGATAGATAAATGAAATTTCACATGTAAGTAAAAGATCTAATTCTCTACCTTCTGTTAAATTTTGAGTAATTTCCGTTGACTGGAAGTAGTAATTTACGCTACTTCCGATTTCTCAAAAAACTAATGTAAATTTTTAAAGTACTAATAATATTGCGCACTATTATACGCGTTTTTATTCGGCGTTTGCTTGGTGCGCAATGTTTTTTTTATGAGATTCTATTCTATTTTTAAAAGTTTAAGTATTTAAAATGGATTAAAAATCATAACTATATCCCCAGTTACCATCCCCTGTTGTTTTATATAAGAATATTCGAGAAAGTTTAGGGGAGATCACTCCTGGTTTATTTTTTTAATTATGGAAGACATAATAATGGGAGTTGTGTCTGTTTATGGAACTTCTCGCGTTACATCTTCGTTAGAAATACTTATAAAATGTTTTATTTTGTTTAAAAGTACGAATATGTAGCTAAGTAAGTTGTGATGGTTTATTCATCCAATTATAAATAATAAAAAATCAGCAGAATCAACAATAAAGATAATGAAAGGTAGTGTTATATAATATCATCGCACTATATGAGACAGTGATCTTGGTTTTTTTTTTGTTTTTTTTAAGGCACTGAATAAAATAATAATAAAATATGATTTGGTTTTTTTTCAAATTCAAAACATAGGTATATATTTTACTGGTGCACAAAATGAAGCGCGCATCAACATCACGGTGTTCAAAGAATAAAGCCCTTTTTTTCTAGTTCCGCCACTGGATATAGATCTAGAAATATCACGATTCCGGTACGTGTTATCTTACTATTGCGCACTTTATTACTATGTCGTGTCGTCGCGCTGTCGTATTTGAAATGTCATCGGCCGCTAGACAAAATCCGATGAGTCGGGTGTGTCTTGACCTCCGCCGGACGTGAGGCTGACTCCATTGAACCCAAGTGAAGAACCACTAATATACGCTAACTAAACCAATAAAAACCATGTGAGCAGATAACAATACGTCAAAATTATAAACGACCTTTGCTCATTCGTATTAAAAAGCCTATAAAATAATACTATCCTTAATAATTTCGTCCTAAAAAGTAAATTAAATATATGTTCCGTAAAATAAATTACTGACTCAAACATTGAGTTTATAATTCAATATTTGATTGTATTTCCAACATTTGGTTAATTAGCATGTATGCAGGCCATGTGGTGTTACCTAACTTTCGATAAAGACATTGCGAAGATATTCGTAATACAGTGCATTTTCGTTTTCTACAAATAGCGCATCACTATCGTAACTAGCCTACATTTTAGATTAGAGGCTCTAGGCATTTTAATTTGAAATATTAGTAGCACGTCGAACACGGTAGGGGAAAACATGTAAAATCTAATTTTGTTATTTTTAGCCTGATTATAAGGAATAGCCATACTGTGAATTAAAGCTGAAAACATATTTCCATGTATAAATATATACTACTGCTACTAGATCTATATTCCACGCAATTTTATACTTTTTCTCCAGGGGGGAGGGGGGGGAGGCACTTGAAATTTTCGGGGGGGGGGGGGGTAGACTTTTTTCGGGGGGCGGACGGCGGACACTGTTAAATGTATATATTTTCTATATAAATTCCTTTTCGTTCGGGGGGGGGGGGGGGGGGCGGTAGACTTTCTTCGCCGCCCCCCCCCCCCCCCCCCCCCCCAAGAGATACCTGGAAGAAACTCTGATTTTTATATCATACTACATGCTTTATTTTGTAATATTTAGTAGATAGATTACAGCTTTTTAGCTAGTCGCAACTTGAACATTAGGCCTTCCAAATTCAACTGCTTTAATTTAATGTGAAAAACATTCACATTAATTATTGAATATTATTGACATTTCCTTTATTATAGTTTAAAGTTTTAGGCTACATCCAAAATTTTGGCGGGATAAAAATGTCTAGGTTTGGCTACATTAGTTCAGTTACAGAATAACTGTAATTACTAGATATATCTAGTAAGTTATATTGCACTTCTTTATAAAGGCCTAGGCTAGAATCTATTGAAATATGCCTATACTAATATACTACGACGTGGAAAACATACGTAATCTAATACGTAACCAAGCCTTCAAATTTAAGTTGGGGCCTACGGTAGGCTACGGGCTACAGAACGAATCATGCAGGCCCAATTCTAGATCTATATTCTAGATCTATATTGTAAACAAATGCATTCTAAAACAGTATACTTCTATAAAACTTCACAGTAGTTAAGATAAAATGGAGGGGATTTTGTGAAACATATTAGATCTAGCCTAGATCTTCTAATTTTATTGAGATTTTCATCAAGATCTAGATCTAGCTACGAGTGTCGTTCTGGGGTAATGCCTTGTGCCGTGTTCACAGCTTTTCCATCCGCCAAAATGGCGTCTACAAGGGTGTGACCTATTTCTGTTGCTTGTTAAATTTCTCCACAAAACAACACTTTCTGTAAAATTTTAAGACTTCTTAGCAACCAAAAATGTAAGTTGATTTAAAAGACAAACGATTTATTAAATTCCTACCTTGCTTATGCTCTAGTAACACTCCACAGAGAAAATTTGTAAAATGTTTCTGCTTTATCGAATTCTAAATTTAGAAACAGAAATACCAAGCTACTATTTTAAGCCTTTCGCCGTGTTGCATAGGGGATTTCCCTTTACAGGCGTCTACACACATTAGCTTTGTGATGTGCTTGTCGATACTGTTTTGTTTAATAAGACGCCTATCTGACTGAGCATTAACCTAATTATGCAAAAGTAAGGATTTACGAGTTCTAATTTATATTTCAGACAAAGAGTAAGATGATATTTAAATTTCTATATTTTTGGTTAATCTCAGAACATTTTTTCTTATTATATAATACTTAGTACTTAGGCTAGGAGTGGTATGAGCAACACTATTAAAAACAGTATTGAATGGTTGTTAATTAAAATAAGTTTTAAAAAGAGCTCACCGATTCGTAATGGCACATATCTAGATAGTAGATAGATCTATTACTTTTGGCAATTTTATTTTTAACAATTTCATTATTTTATAATTGATACGTTTATTTAATGGAGTATGTTATATTTATTGATAAAGAATCCTCATTAATGCTGTTTTAAATAGTTAATTAATTATACATGTTATGTGTGTATCTTTGCTACTGAATAATATGATATTTTATCACACCATTTTATCATGCCAATGTCTGTTTTTTCTCAGCGGTTCTGTCACCTGCCTGCCATGTTATATTCTAGGTAGGCCGATGGATACTGAATTAGTTTCTTTTAAAAGGATGCTGGGGGTATGGCCATGTACGTCCAATGAAAGGGGCTAAAATATAAACACAGAATGGACCGTGGACAACTTTAAACGTGATTAGCGTGTGAAAAAAACGGAGGTAATTATAGAGTATGACCACAGTGGTTGAGCTATTTTAACTTTATTTACTTCGCAGTTGTTGTTTTTTTATGTGTTACATGCCGTGCATACCTTAGGTTTAGACACGTCCTTTGATGAGCAAACGAGACCAAAGTACAATGTTTACAGAGGTATATAAATAAGTCATTTAAAACTACTACTGGTGTTAAAATGAAAAGTCACCGTGAAAAAATGCTTTCAGCAAACGTTAACTTCATAAAAATTAAAGTAACCAAACTGGTTTTGTATACACCTTCATCAAGATTTCTTTCATTTTTCTCTGGGTGAGGGTGGGGGGGGGGGGGGGGGGAATGCAGTCTAGACTTTGGGTCAGGGGGGGGACTGGTGAAAGTATATATTTTCTATACAACTGATAGTCTATATTTGTTTTCTATTTCATCCTGGGAGGGGGGGGGGAAGGTCGGTAGACATTATGGGAGGGGGCCAGTGCCTAAACATAAAAGAACACTGATTTTCAGTAAAAAAAAATTAACAAGACTAAAAGTAGCCAAACTTTGCTCATACCCTCTGACGCCAGTTTGTAAATGCCTCGCAAAATATGACGTTGTTGACTTCCCATCGCCCCATCCACGAGAACCTCGCGTTACCGCGTGTTATCAAGTGTTATCAGCCTGTGTTATCGTCACCGCCCTACTTAAACTATTAAAGTACTTTTCAAATCTGCTCAATGGCGACGCGCTGTTATAGTTAGTCGGTTACTGCGCAATACGGGATAGTTTGTGGCATTTAAATATATCAAATCCTGTCCGATTGATGTCACCTCATTTTAAAGTGTTGGCATGACATGAATGGGGGGAAAAAGTAGGTCAAGATTCGAACATATGATCATGCATCAGTGAATGAACAAAAATCCCGGTATTGCTAAAACAATTTTGTCACGTGGGCTAAATATAACTTATTTTTATATAATGTAAATACAAAATAGATCTTAGTCATGTAGGTATTTTTGTCACCCGAACAATAGCCGCATGGCCCCCTAACGGTAAAGTAATTAAAAAAATGTAACGCGCAAATATTTTTAACACCATGTGACGAATCAATACCACTCACCCCCACCCCCTCCTTACCCACCATAATCGAACTCTATAAGCAGTCTGTTTTTTACCATTACTCCTTCCTTCCTTCCTGATTCAAATACATCACAATATGATCGCCTTGGGAAATATAATTAGAATCTAGGCGTGACGCTTTTTTTTTTTTTAATAGCATCATGTTATCATCTTCAAGCCAAAAAAAAATTCAACAGGTTCTTTATATATATATATACTATATATATATATATATATATATATATATATATAATATATATATATATATATATATATATATATATATATATATATATATATATATATATATATATATATATATATATATATATATATCAGATTTACGTCATGGTGTCCACCCCCCCCCCCCCCCCCCCCCCCCCCCCCGCGTCGGGATATGTCCAGTTTGCTCTTAGAAGACTATTTAATTCACTCTAATTAATCATTTAACTAAGCGAAATTATCATTTTTCTGTATATATTTTGCTTATTTTTGCCTTGGTGTCACCCACTAAATGGTGTCACCCGGTGCGGTCCGCTCCCCACGCCCCCCCTCGCTACGCCACTATATATATATACATATATATATATATATATACTATATATATATATATATATATATATATAGTACTTGAGGATTAACTTCCTCTATCTATATGTATGGGTGGGAAGTCTAATGACTCAAATTTTAGCGATATCGCGATGTGGTACAGGGTTAAACGCACACTTGGTGAGACTTTTAACTATTAAAACTTCAGCTGATCAGAGTCTTATAATACTTATATGGCTCAAGGAATATTTGTTAGAGGCACTCGACCGAAGAGTGTACTGACACCACTCGACCGAAGAGGCACATCGTAAAATGGGAACACCATTCCGTCAATGAGGTACACCGTATACTGACACCATTCAACCAAAGAGGTACATCGTATAGTGACACCATTCACCAAAGAGGCACATCGTATACTGACACCATTCGATCTAAGAGGGTACATCGTATAGTGACACCATTTGACCAAAGAGCTACATCGTATAGTGACACAATTCGAACAAAGAGGTACATCGTATAGTGACACCATTCGACAAAGTGTATTGTTGTAGAACCAGGGTATTTAGTACTGTGAGGTAAAGCTCATGGTTGCTGAACTGAAAAGTCTCGAGTTCGAACCCCCGGGCAGATGAGGCTCGTTAGCTGGGGACAGCCACTCTTCTAGGAGAGAAAACTCCAAAATCAAACAACCTGCTGCCTTGTAGTTGTAGTTGTTCTTGGTTGAACAAAGGCTATGGAAGCAAATCCAAAAAGAAAAGCAGGCTGAAATCGGAGTCAATGAATGGCGCATAACCAGTTGACAGTAATCCTTAAATGTGATGGAGGCGTGGTCGAGTCGGCAAAAGCTCGATCCCTTCATACACTAAAAATTAGAACGAAGAAGAAGAAGAAGTACCGATTGCTGTTGTTGGCATAAAAGCAAATCTTCAAGGTCCATATACAAATAGTTAGCTTCATGCGAGGCATCACTTTCTGTTGCAGTAAGCATGTGTGCTACATTTACTTCTCACCTAGAGATCATCCACAAATAACGTCACGCTTTTGAAAAAATGATTTTTTTACCTCCCCCCCCCCCTCTCTCCTCCATCACACATCGTCTTAAAAAGCCAAGCCCCCCCACCCTAAAATGACGTCACACCTCAGTCTCCACATCCCCCCCCCACCTCAAAAATACAGTTGAATGGTTTTTTAATCGATTTTTTTTAACTTAATTACTTATTGAGTGAGCTCGGTCAGCATAGGAGTATTTTAATCAATCTCTATTACAGTTTTAATAAAACTATTTTTCTAAAACGTGAATGCCACAGGCCTTTTCCTTACCCTTTATAATACACATACGAAAGAACAAAAGTCAAGCACTTCTTCTTGCAGTTTTTCATATTTTATTTTGTTTCATACAGGCATCGTGTTCACTCAGACCTCGCCATCTTCTTCCGCGCCTGCGCACCACCCCCCACTGGTCTCCCTGAATCCAATTTTCCTTTATTTTAACACACACACTCCCAACATTCATTCATAAACATTTAACTGTTTTAGTGAAATAACGGCTAAATTCAGTTTCTAACATTACTTTTAAAAAAAAAATGCACAAGTGTGACGTCCTATTATCTGACCATCCCCTTTCCCATATCACACATCGTCACAAAATTGCGACCCCCCCTCCTCCTTACGAGTGTGACGTCATTTATGGACCCCCCCCCCCGGTCCAAGGGAAAGAGCGTGTGCAAGGAATCGAATGTAAGCAACATTACACTAGGCACTGCCAGAGATTTTATACATAAAGGAACTCGATTTTTATGCCACTACCCCCCCCCCCCCCCCCTGTTTGTTCGGGTTTTAATAAAAATTGACAACGTGATTTTTTTTCAGTCAGAAGTATGGAAGAAATAATTAAAAGTAATCTTTGTATTGATAGTTACGGGTATCATAGTATTTGGAGACATGACTGCGCACTGCTAGTTCTGACGTGTCGGAAGTGACCCAAGATGGTCGCAGAGTACCAGAAGTGACCCAAGATGGCCGTAAAATACCAGACGTGACCCAAGATGGCCGCAGAATACCAGAAATGGGTTAGTATATAATTTAGCGTCTAATTAACACTCAAGTCGGTTAAATTGGTTAGTATATTTCCTCTTAATTAACACATAGTTGAACTTTCAGGGATTATACATTTGATCCATATCCTATTTTAAAGATCGATAATATCTCCTGAAGCGACCCATTTATTTTAGGTTAATAGATTCTATTGATCCCAATGAACACTTCACAGGTCAGTAGCCTGTGTATCTACTGAAATATTATATATATTATATTTCTATACGGTCGTAAAAATGTCTACAGGGGCCTTATTGTATTCTTTTCTTGGTAAGGGGGGAGGTCTAAAAATATTTTTCGGGAGTCTTTGTGTAACAATCTATTATGCTCTTTATATACACCTCTCCCCCCCCCCCTTACCCAACATGTAGGCCGAAAAAAACCCTGGGTCGAAATCAATTACGTTACATTAATTATTTTAAAAACAGAAACCCACTAATGATGATTAACTTCTATATTTGGTGATATTAATATTAGGTTTACAATTTATATCCATAAGCAAATCATTCGTGGTCTGTGCACTCATTACCCCCCCCCCCCCCCCGCACATTTAAAAACAAAAACAGGACATTTTAAATTATTGTCAAATAAAAGCAAAGTAATTGGACTGAAATAAAGTATGTGACTAATGGGAATGTTTTAACGTAAAAGATTTAGTCTTTTTATAGAAATAACACATTTACTAGGGACTGGGGGTGGGGGGGGGGGGGTGGGAATCAGAATTTCATGACGAAATTCCACGAAGACAAGGGGTGGGTTGGACAAAATGTGACGTAGTTTAATATGTTTTGATTTAGTGTGGAAATGATGAAAACAATGTTAATTTGTATTAAAAATCCTGATGTTTTTAAAAAATTGAGATCAATTTTTGGTATAGGCCTTCGACGTCGCTTAATTATAGGGTGTTGGTTTTTTTTTGTTTTTTTTTTTGGGGGGGGGGGGGGTTATATGACGAAAAGCGTGTGGGGTAGGATGAAAGTTGGCCAAAAAAAAAAGCATAGGCATTATTTATATATTTTATATACAGGCTGAAAATTTGATCAATCCCTATTTCATAACAACTCATTATTTATGGACGACCAATTAACAGATTAAAAATGTAATCAATCCCTAGGTCATTAGCTTATTATTTATGGACGTTCAATTAACAGATAAAATATTGTATCAATCCCTAGGTCATTAGCTTATTATTTATGGACGACCAATTAACAGATACAAAATTTAATCAATCCCTAGGTCATCAAAGCTACTATCTTGTCAGCCCACAGCTCACTCGGGAAGAAAAACTGTATTGGAAAATTTTCTTCTGAAAGGCTAAAAATAGCAACTTCGTCAAGAGCGCTCGCGATGGGAATATTGATGTTTCCAGTATACACTGTATGGAAATTGGAAAGTCTTTGCATAGTTGAGTAGTGTCGTGAATTAATTTGTCAATAATAATAACACAGAACACACAGAGGGGGGGGGGGGGGGGGGAAGGACCTAGAAGGTTGATCTACAAATGTTTACAGTAACCCCTAGAGATTATGGAGATTAACCTCTCCTCCCCCCCCCCCCCCAGAACGAAATGGATTTTATATAGAAAATGTGTACTTTTAATAGAATCCGTTCCCCGTCCGCCCTCGAAAATTTCAAGTGCCCCCCCCCCCCTCCCCCCCCCCCCCCCCCGGAGAAAAAAGTCTGAAAGAAACACTGATTCAGAATAATAGGAGACTAGAGGTTACGCTGTGGGAATTTCGAGGTTGAGTTTCATGATTTTTATAGAAGGTTACAAGTAATCACTTTCTTGAGGGCGTTAAAAGTTTCAAGTAACTTATTTAATCGGCGGATGTACTTTAATTAACAGTGGTAAATTCAGTTTTGGGCGTAACAAATTTAAAAATAGTCGATTAAGTAGTGGTGTTGGTAGCTAAATCATTCTCCCTACCTTAATTTAGTGACAGAG